AGAAGGAGAAAGGGTGCCTGTTGGGTTCGATTGAACCCAGCACCTGGGTTCCTTTGAAGAATTGATGTTTGATGTTGGATGAGGAAGGAGAAGGTGATGTTTGATGAAAATATATATATGTGTGTGTGTGTGTTTTTTTGTGGATTTTGTTGTTTGATGAAGAATTGATCGATGAAAATGAAGATGAAGATGAAGAATTGATCGACGAAGATGGCAAGGAAAGGAACTGGAAGGTGAAAGAGAAAGTGGAGGAAAAAAGAAAAAATTTTAAATTTTTATTGCCAAATCATTTTTTTTGCCATGCTGGATTTCCACGTAGGTTTAATATTTTAACAGATAATTATACTTCCGTTAGTTAATAATACACGTCATGCGATTTTTAATGGAGGGACCAAGTCGGGGTTAAAATGGTAAACAGTAGGGACCAAGTCAAGGATTTTTTGAGTTGAGGGACTCAATCGGGGGTCCGTACGATAGTTGACGGACCAAAAAGGGGGTTTAACCTAAAAAATTTTAAAATTACATAAATTATTTCTCTATATAATCTATTATCATTCATGTAGCTAAAAAAAGAAATCTTAATAGCTATCCAACCATTAATTTTTGGTACTATTATTAAAATAATTAAAATTTTAATTTAATTTAATTAATAATTAATAATTCTTATTTAATAAATTAAAATTAATTTATAAATAAATATTTTTAAATATTATAACTAATTATACAACAACAAAAAATTAATAATTAATAAAATTAAAATCAAAATTTATAAGCTTAACAAAGTTATTGGTGGTGTGGTGGTATCCTCAGCCCACCTTTGTATACATGTAAACAAAATCCTCCCCTGCGTGGTTAGAATTTAGAAAACTACTTCTACCATATATTTACCACGTGAGTAAATCATGAAATCCGCCTTCATCACAGGCCGTTAATCAGACCTTTAACGGCTGTAACACCACCGACACGTCACCACCCCGCAAAATTTTTTTTTTTAACTTTTTCTTTATGCTTTTGCCCGACCGTCGGTGGAAATTGAATCGTCCCCCCTAATTTCGTGATCCGTGATGTTTACTGACCCTTCATCAGCTATCGGAGAATAAGGACGGATGGCGGAACAGATCGTAGGGGGCCCACAGAGCATCCAACGGACATGGTTTTTTGGAATCGATTCGAAGCCACGGTTTGCCCTTGCCGCTCCAGTGAAGCAAGCTCACCGGACCTAGGTGCAGATCCCTGCATAAACCTTCTAGATTGTCCCCACCCAGGCCGTGCTGGTTCCATCTGTGCTCCACTCTTTCCACGTTGCCGGCGAATACCAACAGGAACGGAGGCAACGAGCCCAGCTCGTAAATCCTGTGCCTCTTCTGAATCCTCATCCAGTTCTCTAGTTTCTCAGTGTACCTTCCTTGTCGCCATTTCCACAGATCGATCACCATTACTCCTGTGTTGAAATAGCACGGTTCCTTCCCCTTGAATGTCGCCGCGAATAGCGGGTTTGACCAGAATTTATGGGTGAAGTAGGTGGTGAAGTTGGCGTGGCAATACTCGGGCGCGCCTAGTACGTGGCTCCCAAGGTTGATGTTCCACAGTTTCGCTACGTCATCGACGACAATGAGGTCAGAGTCAAAGTATATGATGCGGCGGACACCAGCGGGCAGTAGATCAGCGAGATAGATCCTCGCGTAATTCAGTGGCTGATCCAGCGCTCTGCGGATGGACGACGAGATCTTGCCTCTAACGAGATTAGCATCGAAGTGGTAGAGATGCAAATTTAGATACGGAAAAGTCGAGGTGATCGCGCGCGCGAGCTCGGCGCTGCTCCGCTGCGTGGTGATGAAGTGGAAGACGATGTTCTCCGGGCAGGTCGCGTGAAGCAGTACCGAGAAAACCCCGGCGACGGAGCCGCGGAGGTAAACGGTATCTAAAGTCATCGCGATGTGGATGATCGACGGATTGTAGGACTTCCCGTCGACGGAAGACCACGTCGTCTCCGGACATTCCCTTCCATTCCGAAATGCCGGTGCCTCTCTAAAGGACGAGACCTCCGCCGCACAGATACAAGCTCCGACGGTCAGCAGTAGCACGAGACAGTGAAATTCCGACGGCATGGCAGTGAATTGCTACGAGTGTCTGAGTGCGACTCTGGGCGATGAATGAGGACGGTGGGACGGTAGCATTTTGTCTTTGTGATCTTCGAAGGGTATTTTGGGTATTTTCAATGTTCCGTGGATTAAGGATAGGCTTTTCTCCTGCACGATGCCAGGCTGGCTAGGCTCGTCCTTTTGCTCTTTTGTGTCTGTGAATGGACTGGTTACGTCTGGCGTCGAGTGCAATCATGTGGCGGTGGTTGCACCGCATGGAGTAGTGGAGCCGTACACTGACACCCTTGTACATTGGATGTCTTGTGCTATTGATTTTCTGTTTATAATCCAACGGATAATATATTCGGATGTCCTGTGGGACCGAGAAAGCCGAGGCGCGTGATTTTACTTCTAAGATGGTGTACAGTGTCTTAGTATATTCCAATTGGAGAGGATCTTTTCCGTTTGTGGGAGTTGGAAAGTACTTAATGTGCCTTGTACCGACTGCCATGTCTCATTAATCGTTATTATCCGGACAATTATAATTAACTAAGAAATTGGTCATTACTTTAGAAGGAAATACATAATAATGACTGAGTTTAAAATAAAAAATACATATATGCTTTTTTATTAACTTTTTACTATTTAAAAATATATTAAATTTTAATTAATTTAAAATAATATATTTATTACATATTTAATTAATTTAAACATATATCAGACAAATTCTTTCTCACATGGTCATGGACCATGTCATACACTATAATCCTACCTAGGGTAGGCATCACCCACGAGCACAATGGCCCGGCCATTTATTGCAATAAAAGGGTAGGTGATGATTGATAAGGAGATTACTTATGGATGATGAGACCCCTCTGATAAAATTGCTTTAATTTCTTTTAGTACTTTTTTTTTTAATTTTTTGGTTGGATCCACCTAAACATGCAATAGCAAAAAGACAACGTAAGTGGCCACTTTTTCGAGCCTAATATATATGTGAGAAAAAGGATTTAATCACAAAGTGCTTTACCTGAAAGTGAGGTGATCGATGACAAGAAAAGAGACCAAATTTTGGACAAGAAATCAGTATTTTACACCAACTAATGACATTGGAATGACATGGCTTGGCTGCATGTCTGAGTCTCTGAAACAGATGTCATAAAATCTCACTAGCTAGCAGGGAATTATTATTAAACTTGCCTCTGAAGGACTGGAAGGAATAGTTTGTTATTCTAACATAATCTGGGACGGATATACTTTCTTCTAGGACAAACAGGGGTTACAGAACTATGGACAGCCTTAGATCACTATTTATATACATGAATAATTCTTGTTGTGCATGACATTTTTGACCACCTCTCTGAATTTTTCCTTTTTTCTGTTGATATCAGCGCTATTTTGAGTTAGATTGTGCATGTCAAAAAAGTTTATGTATTAAATTTCCTGAAAATAAGACTTTATGTCAGAATCAAAGAAAAACACCAGAAACTATTTTTATAAGTTGTGTCCACTCCAAAAATTGAATATTTGGTCATAAACAAGATCAATTTGCTAAACCTGCCAGCACTTTGAACTTATTAATGAATTACTTTTGAATAGGAATGTTAATAACGCTCTTTTTTCGCATTTGGGCTATCATTCAGTGGCCTTAAGTCACCTGTAAAGTGTATTTTTTATTTTTCTTATTAATGGTTCGATTTCGACTTCTTATAAATTTGTTCAAAAAATAATAATGGTCTTTTTTCAACATTTTTAATATGATTAGTTATGTGACATTTTTTTTTATTATTAGTCTATATGTTAAATATTTTAAATAACTCCCTTATTAGGTGAACTAACAATAAAAAAAATACATGTTACATGAATTAATAATTAAAAAGGTATTAAAAAGAAAGTGTAATAAAGTGTCACCAAAAAAGTGTAAAAGAGAGTGTCGCTAACGCTTCTTTTAATCTAAATGTATATGTTTTGAGTAAGAAAAACAATTAACTGAATTGGATGGTTGAATGCTTCATTTTGAAAGCAAAATGAGATCTAATGACTTTGTGATTCTTGAGATTTGTTGTGAATTAAAATATAATTCATGACATCTTACTTTTAATATGGATGAAATTTTACCAAAGCGTTTGACAGGCTAGTCATGGTGATGGAGGAAATATGCATTTATAGTATAATATACAAAAATGCGAGTTTAAAGTTTACATGGGGTCACATTAAATAATATGCAAGTTGAAAGTTAAAAATTTGATCAAAAGGACAACAAAATCTCTCTGAAATCCTTAGTTCACATGTCAAATTTGAGGTTATTACCACTAGCTCAGATTCCATTACGTATAATAGTCAAAATTGAGTGAAGTTAAAAGCTCAAAAACCATAGTAAATGTCATTGATTAAATTAATGGTTTAGTCAAAGCAAAGGGCACAACTTGCATGGCCTTTCATGTTCCTCCCAACTTCACTTGCGACACACACTATCTTCCATTAAACCCTTTTCTTAATCAACAATTATGTCATTTTCTTTTCCCCCCATTCAAGCATTTCAAGCTGTCAATGTCGATATTCATTACAGTAATTTGATACTTATTCCATTGACAAGATTTCTAAGACCCTGTTTGTAGTTTGTACCCAACACTAAAATAAAAAAATTCAATTCAATTAAAAAAAAAAAGAAAAAAAAAAGGGAAAAAGACCAACAACAACAACATACACATTAGGTTAGAGTTGCACATGAACTTCTCGAGTGATTAACCATGGCCGTTGCCTCCGGTGGACGTTTCGAAACACGTTGTTTATTACTTACTCCATCCCCACCGTCTCCCCTCATGGCTAGCTTGTTCTTTGCTGTTTAATTAATTAGTTGAAACTTAATGGTTATTTAACAGTTCAATCATTCTAAAAGCCAGAATTCATGCAAAAGACTTTTGAATTTAACAAATTCTGCGGGTGCAGATATAATGGGTTCGTACCAAAATTAGGATTAATTAGTGGATACGGTTGTCTGTTTTCATGTAATGGGTCAGAGAGGCTTTAATTTTTATTAAGATGAAGTATGTACCAGTAAATCACATCAATAGTACGGATGCAAAATTTACTTATGCATCTTTTAGCACGTCAAGGTATCTAAGATTGCATTTGCGATTGCCGTGCGGTGAAAGCCAAAAATACCGTTGGAGCACTCAGCAAACCCAGATGCAGCCTAAGCAGTTGCCTCCATAGCCAGCAAAGTGATTGCTGCTTATTAATTGTACAACTCCAAGACAAGCCATCTGAGAATTTCAAAAATAACATTAATTAGTACACACTTCAACTTAATATATTACCCTATATATTTATTAAAAAATTATTTTTTTAAATTTAAAATTAAAAATAAATAAACTTAAAAATACAAAATACATATAAGATATAAAAATTTACTGATTTAGTTATATTTATATTATTTTTTAATAACTAAATTAGAATAAGTATCCAAAAGTATGTTAAATTAAGTGTTACCGTTCATTGTACTTCCAAAAATTATTCCTCTCATATGTAATTAATACATTAATCTATTGCAACAGCAAGAATGGTGAGTTCCCAATTCCCATAGATACAAATATTTACACCAAAAAACTGAAGAAATTAAAGAAGTTATATATGTTATGTACAATACAACCTTTACTCTCTTGGGATCCACCTTCTCCACCATAAGCTTTTCCCGCGTCTGCTGAGCTCGTCCATGCTCTCATTCAATGTTCTAACAATTTTCCTCTGAAGTCGTAGAGCAGAAGCAAGAGCATTTCTTTGTGGATTTGCCTTCTTCTTAGGTTCCATTTCCTGCGCAACGAGGGAGTTTAAAAGATAAATATTAACTGCTTTCTGATTCTAGAAGATTTATTTTGTGAATAGTTTGATACAGACGCTAAGCTCTTGAAGTTGAGCTTCAGTGAAGCCACCATCTTTCTCTGTTCCGGATTTTGCCATTAGCTGAATTGCCCACTTGGCAGCTTCACCATTGTCCTGCTATGTAGCTCGAAAAATTTGTAGTCGTAAATTTTGCATGAAGGACAACGCCAATAGTCCTTCCCTATCGAAGTAAGGATGAGCCAGAGCTGCTTTGGCACTAACTCTTTGTCGTGCTTTGTTACTTTGTATCGAACCATTGATGTTAGAAGTTCCCATCCTCTGCCACCATTTAAATCTAACAACTCAAAGCCATTGCGGAGGTCAGGACAGGCACGAGGCCCACACTTTTCCTCCATGCAACTAGGTTATAGTCACACCTCTTCAACTATCGGTTGAATTGAATCAAGCTACGTACTGTCTGTCCGTAAAGATGGGAATGCCTGCAAGAAAGAAAGTCAGTTGAGCTAAGCCTGGAAATTCAGAACAATTATTGCAATGATAGACATAAGATTTTACTAGATATGGCCTAAACTATGTAAACTTGTCAGAAATTAAGCTAGTACTTTTGATGTTTAAATTCTAGAAGGAGCAACCAAACCTAAACTTCTTTCAGCGTCATCTGCTACTCACCATTTGTAGAAATATTAGACCAGTACTGTAGATATCAAATCTATCTGGCAGATTCAACTGTTTGCAAATAGCATCATTCAAGACAAAAACAAAACACATAGAACAGGGGAAAGTACAGTTGCCACCGGAGCTGATGGTACAGATGGAGTTTGTGTACTCATGATATATTGCTCTGGTGCAGCATACCTAAAAAAACTGAACCACTGAATTCCATACAATTGAACAAGATAATATTGACTTGACACCGTGTTGTTGGATCCAATTTTATGTATCAGTCAAAGATGTGAATGCTGTGGTTGCTTTTGGAAAGCTACAATCATCCACTTAGCAAATTCAAAGCTACCACAGTTGAACAAGAAGAAAATATTTCTGAACGGCTACCAGATTCCTTCATTTACTATAGAAGAAATAAGTCTATGTTTAAGGTTATACATTTGAGACCTTAAGTTGTATTGTTCTTGTACCTTTCCAAACTGTCAAAGTATTTCTTTCAGGACTTTAAAAAATGGCCTACTACTCACACCAACTTCCCTTCTTCACAGTATCTAGTTGTAAAGCCAGATGATTCATAATTGAATTCAGAGGTCTGAAACTCTATGGAGACAACTTGCTATTCAACTGCATATGTGAACCTATATTCTCTACCATCCAAACATTTGTGAGCAGAACCATAGAGATCTATTATATCCGAGCAATAATTAAAGGAAGCAGTTAACAGAACCACTAATTTGTACAAATGATCTGCATCCCATACTTAGAGAACTAAAGAGGGCAGCTAATCATAATTGCTTGTGTTATGGAGAAGATCCAACAGTGAACAAACTACATGAGTGTAGTTTATTTTTGCAGCTCAAAGGCTAAGGTCTTGTGGACATGGATTTTAAGCAATTCTGTGGCCAAAATATGCATGTGGTGGATAATCATTGTTATTAGATGGACCTGTCTGTTGGGCCTTTTTCTAGAGAAGAAAAAAAAAATGAATTCAGTACCTTGTGTTGCTAATAGATAAAAAGCTATACCTGGGATCCAAAAGGAATTCCTTTGGAATATAGTTAATTCCAACTCTCAAATCTGCAGTAGCTCCAAGATCAATAATCTTAAATGTACTAGACCCTGCTCATGTTTTTAAACAGTTCATAATTAAGTGAAGAGCAAGCAGAATTATTGAGCTTTTATTTAACTACAGTTACCTTCAGAGAAAATAATATTCTGTGGCTTAATATCCCTGTGCACAATCCCTGTTGAATGAAGACCATCCAAAGCAAATACTAGCTGTCGCATGATCGTCTGAATGATTCTGTTTTCCCTTTCCAAACCCTTAGGCAAGTCCTGGACCTTCCCGAGGATCATTGTTTCTACCTGACATTTAAAACATTAAAGTTGGGAGCTGGAAAACTAGAACTACAACATCCCAAAATAAATACAAAAAGGCTATTAAAATGTATTTGAATTCAGACCTTCATATTGTAACAATAAATTCAGGAAAAAAAGGTTGGTTAAACGGTAAGTCCATAGAATAAACTTTCATTATTTTGATTGCCAGGAAAAATTATATGATAAGGTTTTCTGAAAAATATTAAAGGCCAATAAGAGAAAGTACCAACATTGTATGGGAACTCTTTGCTTTGCATCAAATCTGCAAGTGTGCCCCCCTCAAAACGCCATAGAAGTCAGTATTCACTACTTTCTTTTGAAGAAGTCTGAAAAATGAAAACAATTCTGATCATGCAATGTATAAGAAAAACTAAAAAATAAGTGTGAAACGCCGGCCGTCCAATTAAACTAAAAAATTATCTCCTGTCGAAAGAATACCCTTAATTCATATGGTAGTAATAGTCATAAAGAGCAACACCTCAAGAAAGCCATACAGGAAATCAGCACAGCTGCTTGCACAAGCTCTTCGCACACGCTCATTCATCCAAATTTCCACTGCCCCATACTCAGTTGCCTTTTCAAGACTAAGTCCCCCTCATCCTAATGGCAAATAGAAACCACAAGTTAGTTAGGTACTTAACATTACTAAAGTTCAATCAGTAGATCTTCTCCGAAACTCGTGGAGATCCCACTGTAAGAATAGAAATTCCAAGAATATTACTTTTCGTGGGTGGGGATGGAGGCACATTTTTGCTTGTGAAATTTTGCGGAAAATTTCTTCCACCATGTGGAGACCCACGAGAAGCTATATATAATAAAAAAATATAAATTTATATATATTTAAAAATATATTAATAATTAATTTTTAGCTATCTAATTCAATTGGATAACCTAACTAAACTTAAAATGCCCATGCACATCCCAATTCCTTGTCCAATCTTCCCAAACCTAATTCAATACAATAAGTAAACTACAAATTGCAAATTGGAAATGGCAAATTACAATTGCCAATTGCAGGTTGCAATTTATGCTTCTTTTTTCTATGAATATGCTGCTGGAGCTGTAGTGCTAGACATGTATGGCAGTATGTATTTGCTTGCTGCAATTGGACATTGCTTTGTTGGACACTTAAATTGTATGTGTAATGTATTTATTTGTTTGAGTTCTTTTAAATTTTTATTTTTCTAATTTATAAAAAAAACAAAAAGTTAAATTTTATATGTTTGATATTTAACTGGGATTTCATATACTTGCTAGGAATGATGGTTCCCACAGGTATAAGGATGGAGGTTATTTTTGAATCCTCATAAAAAATTTCCATGGGATCCCCATACTTGCCATTGACGAGATGGAGATGGAGAGGAGGTTCTCGCCGCCATAAGGACCCATTGCCATCTCTATCAACCAATTCAAACAGTTTCACACAACATTTGAAAGCAACTTCAAAAAATTTTCTGCTTTCAATATCAATTCCATTAAACCGATGAATCCGTGCACAAATTGTATCCAAAATTAATACAAATGAGAATGCGGTAGCGAGTTCTTGAGGAAAGTGATAATTAGAACTTCAAAGAGCAAATAATTGAGTGCAACTTAATCCAATTCGTAAATGATGATTTCATCAAAGACACTCTTACCTTTGAAGAAGGCTTCTTAGAAGCCAATGAAACTCTATAAGCCGCACCAAATGAACCCTCGCCCAACTTCTTTCCCCAAAATGAAATCATTCTGTCAACCAAAACCCAAAACCCAAACCCCATTAGCCTCAAAATAACCAATAGAACCTCAAAATCAGCATTGATTCGCTTACCTTCCTATAGGTAGGTCTAAACAACCTCTCAACAAAAGCAAGAACAAACATGTCAAAAAAATCCGGGAGCCACCCCACGAGTGGCCCAGCGGTAAGACAAGGCACCGCGGGCCAAAACCGCACCAGGGACTGCAATTGTCAACCCATTAGACTTGGGCAAAGTACTTCTGTATATGACATCGCCGCACTCCATGACCGTGCATGGTAACCCTACTCCTACTCCCAGGAAGAGATCACGAACAGCATCAATCAGTTCAGCTTTCAAGGAGAAAACTGGCAATGCCTTGGGATTTGGAAGGGAAGGTTTTGAATTTGGATTTAGTTTCAATTTTTTGCCAAGAAATGTAGATGGGTGTTTTGAATTGTGTGCTTTCTGATGATTGATGAGGCGAATGTTAGCCCCCACGGATGCAACTGCAGCCATGCCTGTACAGGGTAATTTTGGGTGGAAGAAAACAGAAAACTGAACATACAGTACAGAGCAAAAGGGACACTGACCCGTAATAATTTAATTTTGGTGCTGTTGGTTAAGTCGCAGTGACAGTTTTTTCAGGTATTTTTTGTGGATGGAAAGGGCTCTAGTGGATCGGCGAGTCCGTGCACCACAATTGACGCGTTGACACAAACTTTTGAGCTGAGTTTGAGCCTTGGGAACATATCTACAGCTTCTGGGCTGGTGCAAGCCCTATTGTACTTAACTAAGACCTTTCTACCTTCATTCACGGACCTTTTTAATTCATCTGAGTCGGTGGTCCACTTTCTTGCCACTCAAAGAATTGTTATTGTCTCGTAAAATATTATAAATATATTAGTTTGTTTAATATATATCTTATGAGTATAATAAATAAATAAATAATGTATATTAATTTTGATTCTTAACAAAATTAAAGTTTTAATATTAAATTAAATTATTTTGTTTTATTAAAATTTAATTTACAATTAAAAAATTTAT